CCAGTGATTGTGCCCGTGATGTTCTATAAATGTTGAACTGATACTAGAATCCTAGGCCAGGAGCCTGACTCTGGGAATCCCAACAGACCAGATTTGGCCACCCACTGCCTCAAGAGTCCAACCAGAGAGACGAGTGGTGGCGAAGCAAGAAAGGAACTTATTCAGCATGGCCATACTGTGAGGGAAGAGAAGGATCAGCAGTGGGAGCCTGACTTGAGGTACTGGCAAGAGCATCAGGATTATATGTAGAGGAAGGACAAAAGAAGAGAGCAAGAAGTATTCATAGTCAGCAGTCTCAGTCAGACTGTGGTCTGGTTGGTCATTATTTCAGGTCTGGTTTTGTGAGGCCTTGCTGGTATCTGAGAAAATTATCATGAGGGACTATTTGGCTCTTGTCATGAGTTGATATCCCTGTAAGGCTGTTCCTGGAACCTGAGATAAGATGAAGAAGAATGACACAGAAACACTACCTCAGAGGAGAAAAATGGAGTCAGGGCCATGACTGGATCTTGAAATTTACAGGAACTCCTGTTATAAAAGTATAAATACAGAAGTGACCTATGCATACTTCCCATTTTCATCAATACAGTATTAAAAAGACTTTCCAGATCAATATTTAAAATTAGTCATTTTACTATTTCATCAAGGTCATTTAAAAGTGTTTGCATTGGGGAGAGCAGAATACTATGCCCAGTTCATCTATATGCCTTTGCTTTTTCCATGCTTAGATGTCAAGAGTTCTACTTCCTATTATTTTTAGACTGTCACTGCTAATATTAGCACAGTGAAAACAAGTAGTTCCTCAATATCATAATGAAAACAGGTTTGATCTCATAGACCTTTTGAAAATGTCCTGGGAATCCATATGGATCCACAGATGACATGTTAAACATTATTGTTATGTACTATGTGGCAGTTGGGAGAGCTATGTGAGAGGACATGTTTTGGGATGCCACAGTTTTTATATTAAAAGCATATAAATAAAGTATATTCACTGTAACAATTTAACATTATGAAACTTATATTGACATGTAAAACATTTACCAAAAAACTATTTAAATTTAGACTTTCAATGAACAGGAACTTGTCTAAATCTATTATGCTCCTTTACTTTTTCCCAGGACACAAATATTTTTATCTGTATTAATGATGGTGTCTATATTTGGACACTAGAAAACATTGGAAGGTGTCTACCATTGTTCCACAGGTCCTCTTAACATTGGTATAGGTACAAATCAGAACTAAAAAGATAATGAAATATCATTATCATCATCATTACAGTAAAATGATAGATACTTTTTTGAGAATATATTTTCTTAATAAACAATTCCTATGACATTTAATCCTCACAACAATTTTCAGGAGTGAATATTAGAAAAGAGAAAACTGAGGCTCCAACAATTAAAGCAAGCTGTTCAATTTTATAAACATAAAAGGAATAGGCTGGTATTTGAACATAGATGTCTGCTTCCAGAGCTTCTGCTTTGACCCACTATGCTTGTGATATTTTCCCTATTGTTCTGCATTGTCGTGATATTTATTCTTATGATGACCTGTTATTTCCCCTCTCAGCTTACAAAGGACTTTGAAGAAAACTTGTCATAACTAAGCAGTAATTCTCCCTTTTTCTCAAAGAGTAACTATTGGAATAGGCGTCCTTACTCAGACAGTTCCAGCTAAAGAGTTATGTGGTCTTAGATTGAACTCCACAGAGTGTGAGGGAGCATGGGGCCTTGCAGTGATGAGGTCCTTAGTGACTTTATAACACTACTTCTCACCCCTCTGCCTCTTCATACTGATAGGGTAAGTAACAGTGTGACCTGTGAAGAGTTCCTGTCTGCTAACTGTTCTAAGACAGTATAAATACAGTAGACATGTAGAATCTTTAATGCCATTTAAGATTGCTGCAACATTTACCTGAACACTCACATTCAGTCTTTGGTGTGTTTGCTTATATGTTTGTTTTATGTCACTGATTTGCAATGAATTAAAAAAAAATTAAATAGTTCTTGACACAGTTTGAAAAACTATTCAAGACAGTAGCATCGTTAGTGCCTTTTATTCATTCCCAATATTTTAAATTTCATTTTCTTTCTGGCTCTTAGAGTCAGTTTTTTGAAACTATTGTTTTCAATTATTCTATTTTGATTTGAGAGCTCAAAAAGCCTAATAAGATGAGTTGATTAATTTTTTTAGCATGTTTCATAAGTTTGTGTTTTACTCTAACCATGTGTGCTAGTCAGTTTTCTGTCACTGGAACAGACTAATCAGCTTATAAAGAACAAAAGTTTATATTGACTACAGTTTAGAAATTTCAGTTCATAATCAGTTGGCCTATTGCTTTGGGGACTGCAGCATGAGTATATCCTGGTGAGAGGGTATGACAGAGGAAGCTGCTAACCTCCTGGTGGTTAGAACTGAAAATGGTAGAGAAGAGGCCAGGGTCACAACATTCCCTTCAAGGGCATGCCCCCAGCGACCTCACTTCCTTCCACTAGGTCCCACCCCTTAAAGTTTCCATCACCTCTTTCAGACGCTACAAGCTGGGGACTGAGCCTTTAACACCCGGGCATTTGATGAACACTTACCCAAACTATAGTGTCATGTATGCACATGAATCTATTGTAATTGACTTAAAATCATCAAAATAAATCTAAACTTTTAACTTTTATTTTCCTTGAAAAATAAACAATTTCATGCCAATCATGAGGACACTGACTTCTATTAGACCATTAAGTGTTACCTGTGAAATAAGATAAATTTTTCCTTTTGAAAAAAAGTTGTGGTAGATTTGAAAGATTAGTATTGCAAACAATTAGCAATATAGACAATGGCATATAAGATTGACAATTTAGAGCTTAATTCTTAATTTTCAATATATATAGAGACGGTGAATACCATAAGTAGGAGTACTACCTGTGGGTCTCATGTTCTAGTATTTCCACTTAAGTCTAGTGTGGCAATGATCAGCTCAGCTGTAGATGTGGTGGTATTTATTGATAGGTTTATTTTTAAGTAAGACTTCACTTATTGCTTGGCTTTACTTATTATTTGATTTTCTTTAATTTTAGTGTGGGTCCTGGTCCCAGTTCACAGGAGTAGGCTTCTGTAGGCTCACATAAGTAGTTTGGTTTTTGCTCCCTCTTTACTCTGGTATGATCAATCCACAGAGGCATACCTGTAGTAGGTAAGGAGATCAGAAGAGTTATCCAAAGCAATGCCTTTCTTTAGTGGAATTTTAAAACTTTTTTTTTTTTTTTTACTGTTTTTGTTACCTAATTGGAATCTGATAAAATCTACAGAAGGAAAGTAAATGAACAATAACAATTCATTATGGTAAATGCAGAGTAGAAGTATAGGGAAGGTGGTTAAGAACATGCAGGAGGGGCCCTCGACCCAGTTTAGGGTGGATGAGCCAAGAAACGATTTTGTCAGGAGGAGATACTGATTGGAATGTTTTAAAAAGAGGAAAGGAATAGGAATTAGCCAAACAAAATGAGGGAAAATTGAAGTGAACAATTTGTCCAAACGTTAGAGAGTTTAGAACTGAAGTCTTATTGTGGAGATGGAAAACAGGATGTTTATTCTAGAGATCCTAATAGAGTAAGCAGTATATGTTTATAGGACTTGAAGTCCTACCATCTGTTACCATGGATGCCTTACCCACTGGTGCAGCCATAGACCTTTTACTCATCAGGTCCACTCAACTTAATCCTAACTTACTGTCTGCGAGGGCTGTTTTTATTGTCCAACCCAAGCACTTTGAATGACTGGCTTCTCTTCCTTTTGGTGCCAGCTTATCTGTCATCAGTTCACATTACCTGACCATGCAGCTTTACTCTGACCCTCTGGCCCTACCCTGGCAGTCAGCCTATTACTCTACCTTATTTCATTTTTTTTTGTAGTATTTATCACAGTGTGTTAATTGTCTGCCTAGAGTAGACATGAGTGCCTAGGGTAGCACTTGTTCATTCCCAGGAACATGAGTGTTCAAACAATATTGAGTTAAATGAATAGGTAGCAGTTGAATTAGAAATTTCCAAAGTGATACCTCCCTAAGTTGATATCTTCCAAGATGAGGGTCTTGGTTAACATCTGATATCATGAAAAAGGATTTTACTAAAATTCTTCTTAAAGAAGTAGAATAAAAAATTTATCACCTCTTCACCTTCTTATAAGATCAAAAGGCTTACCTTTTTATGAAAAATGAAGAACACCAAATACACTCCATAATTCATATATTACCTAGAAGTAATCTAGATCCCTTAGAACTTTTAATAATATCCAAAATGCCAATAAAACCTTTGAATTTTTATAGTTTTTGCTATGTAGAGTTAAAATATTTAACTTTATGACTGTACTTATGACTAATTTCTTCTTGTAAAATAATCATTTTGTGAATATTTACTCTTTACATTTTGAGTCATTATAATGAAAAAATAACTTTTGGGAGTTCATAGATTGGGTGATTATTGCCTGTTAATGAGATAGTTCTAAAGAAACAGGATGTAAAATAGCAAACATAACATTTAATATTTATTATAACAAATATTATAATATATAATAACATAATATATAATAATTTTATAGCAGTAAATATAAATAAGTATTGCAATAAATTTATAATATAAATGTATTATAATAAATATTAAATGTATATTTAATTTAAACATTAAATTATAATATATCTATTAAGTGTTATGTTTTGTGACAAGTCAGTTGACATTCCATTGTTTTTTAGTCCATGTCTTTTTTTCTCTTAAATTTAGAAAAAAAGTAGGGGCAGCTTGCAGAGCTACAGAACAGAAAAAGTTTTTTTACCTTCTGAGGAAAAACTTACCTAATTGCAATAATGTTATTTCAGACTGTATCAACTGATCACTTATCTAGCGTGATCTCTATGGGTGCTCTCTGGTCATTCTATTCTGTAATGTAACTCATCTGTAATATCACTGTTTGCAGTTCTGGTCTTAATAACACTGTTTTATAATTGCTTATAGGTGAGCTGGAAGCATGGCTCAAGTGGTAGAGTGCCCACCTAGCAAGTGTGAAGTCCTGAGTTCAAACCCCAGTACTGCAAAAATAAATAAATATTTAAAAAAAATTGGTAAAATGTAAAAGCATACTTATTAGCCATCCTTGAAATACCACATATACAATACTTGGCCAATGTGTTCTACTCTGTTAAAATTGAGAAATATTAGTTCCCCATTAAATTTTTTACCTTCTTTATGGTATTTAATATATTCAGTTGTTTGTTATATTTTAAGGCATAGCAGAGAATCGATACATCCTTTTTATTCATTCTATGTAATAAAAACAAAAGAAATTAAATATATTTTCCTGATCACAGCCATGGTAATCACAGTATGCTGAGAAGATGAAACAATAGGCGTATAAATGTGATTTAGTTAGGATAAATTTCACTCTCCTGCAGTTTTGCTGGAAAAGTAATATTACCCAAATCAGTTTAGTAGTGATTTATAAATAATAGCTAGAGAATGATTAGTATAACACTCATTCATTCATTTAAAAAAATAGGTAATTGGTACCTTCTGTGTCTGGCACTGTTCCAGACATTGTTTTGATACAACATTGAACAAAACACAAAAAAACCCTGCTTCCTGGAGGATATATTTGAATGAGAAAAACATTAAGCAAAAATTATTTCTAGTTGTGGAAAGAAAGGAAGGTAAGATAAATGAGGGTGTAGTTTTGCTAAACAGTCATATAAACAAACACATATGTACATGTCTTTTATGTATTATATTAGGTAGAATGTTTATTAAAGTAATTATATTACTTGCCCTAATATTTATATTTATTTATAAGACACATACCTGTATAATTACTAATCTAACTAATTAAATTTTAATGGCTTATTCTTATTTTAGATAAAAATAAACGTAATTTAGTAGTTTCAATTTTTTTCTGCACGTACAATGAAGGAAAATTTTCATTATTGTTAGGATTTGGCTATATTGACAATAATAATAGGTAGCTGAGGGTTTAAGAATTGTCTAAGGGGAGGTACATCTCCATTTTATAAATGTATAAACCAGACACAGAGCTTAAGCATCTTGTCCAAGATCACACAGAAAGCAAAACCATACTTGAGATTTAAATGCAGAGTTTAATTCTAGAACTAGCACATTTAACTATTAGATATTATTACATACTGCTTATGATAGAAGAGAAGACTTTAAAAATCCTGTAAGTAGAAAAGAAAGGGATAACGTTAACAATGGATGAGGAAGAAAATAGATATACTGGCTTTAGAGTAAGCCTTAAATACGAAGAACTCATAAAGAGATGCAAGAAAATCACATGTAAAAAATTTAAATCATCTCTGTGATGTATAAAAAGTAACTTCAGTACTAAAAATGTTATGAAAAGTCAAAGATACAGAAATATGCCAGGTATACCTAGATAACTCATTTAGTTTTAGTAATAACTGTTAGGGAGAGAGAGTAAGGAAGTTAACAGAGTTGTGGAACTGGCAGCAGGAGTACGCAGGTGGCAAGCTGGAAGCTGATAGGCTGTACGTTGGGAGCTGAGGTTTGAAGGTATATCTGCCAGGGTTCCAGAAAAAATTAAGGCCTACAGAAAATTACCTGAGTGACTCCTTTCTTGGTTGTCAAGGGTGATTTGTAGTTAGTACAGTTCTTGATGGATCCTTGTAAGGTGAGTGTATTAAATACCTCATGGCATTAAAGTTTTCTCTAGCTTTTGTTTGAGTAGCCCTGGGTAGGACTGGAAGTAAAAGTCATCCTTTCAAGAGACTTATCTACAGAAACCCAGAGGAAATTTTATGACAGTTTTCTATAGGAAATAAAATGCTTTAAGGACAAAAGGGAGATAAGAGAGTCAAAGTGGTCCATGTTCATTTTTGTTATTGTTTAATTTTCAGGAATTTACCTGTGTCTGAACGTAAATAAAAAATTCCAAATGTGATTATTTAGTTATTTGATGTATAAAAATTTTAGAAAATAAGGTTTTGTTATTTCACTACATAAAAACATGATTCAGAGAGCAAATAGTCTTCACTATGCTGTTTATAATCCTAACTGCATTCTGTTTCCAGGGAACCTTTTATTATTTTATCAGGAGGTTTGTCATATGATACTGTAGGAAGAAGACCTTGCTTAACAGTGATGCATGGAAAAAGTACTGCTGTACTGGAAATGGACTATTCAATTGTTGATTTCCTAACACTCTGTGAAACACCATATCCAAATGGTAAGCTTTGCACCTTTAAAACTTTTTCTCCATAAATATTAATATTTAAAACAGGCTAGCACAGTAATCCTAGCTACACGGGAGGTGGAGATTGGGAGGATCACAGTTTTAGACCAGTTGGCAAAAAGTTTACAAGATCCCATCTCAACCAGTGGCTAGGTGTGGTGGTACACAGCTGTCATCTCAGCTATGCAGGAAACACAAATAGGAGGATTGCAGTTTAGGCTGCTCTGTCATAAAGTAGAACCCCCTCTGAAAAATAACCAATGCAGAAATGACTGGTAGAATAGCTCAAGTGGTAGAGCACCTGCCTTAGTAAGTGTAAGGCTCTGAGTTCAACCTTCAGTACCACTGGAAATAAAAAAAGATCTATGTTCCTTATCTAATCCTATTGTGCTAGTTCTTCTGAGGAAGAGATGCTGCCTTCATAACTTTGTAAGTTTATTTCAGAAATTTGTTTTGTTTAATAAACTTAAACTGTTTAGCATTATATATTAGTAGTCGAGTACCTTTGAAGGATGAACATTATCCATATTAAGAAGCATTTTAAAGTTCTGTAAAATATCAGTGCATTAAATTAGACAGGGTTCTCCAGAAAAGTAGGTATACAATACATATATGCACATGTATACATATGTTGGTTGTGTGTATTTGAAGACTTGTAGTACTAGCAAGTTTGAAATCTGTAGAGAAGACCAACAGACTAGAAATTCAAGAAAAAATTGAAGTCTTAGGTCTGGAATTTGCAGGTTGGAGTCTCAGACAGGACTTCTATATATAAATATTGTTGAAGAATTGCTTCTTTTTCAGGAAACCTCAGTCTGTACCTCTGAGGCCTTCATCCCATTGGATGAGGACCACCCATTCAGAATGTGATCTCCTTTATTCAGAGTATACCAGTTAGAGGCTCATGTCTCTAATCCAGCTACTCAAGAGGCAGAGTTCAGGAGGATCATGTTTTGAATTCAGTCTGGGCAAAAATTTAGTAAGATCCCATTTCAATCAATAAGACAGGCATGGCGGCATGTGCCTGTGATCCCAGATATGGTCCCCATATCTGGTGGATTACAATATGAGACTGGCCCCAGGCAAAAATATTAGACCCTATCTGAAAAATAAAGTAAAAAGGGCTGGAAGCTTGACTTCCATGGAAGAATACCTGTCTAGAAAGTGTGAGGTCCTGAATTCAAACTCTAGTTCCAAAAAAAAAAAAAAAAACCTAACAGTTTGAATGTTAATCTTGTCTAAAAGTTTCCTTCACAGCAAAATCTAGACTTAATTTGATGAAACAGCTGGGAGCACCTTAGCATAGAAAAGTTAATATATAAAATTAACCTTTACATAGAGCATGTATGATTCAAGAGGAATTTAAAAGTAGATCTTTTTATTTTATTTGAAGCTCTTTGAAATATTGAAGTATAAAGATGTAATAAATTTTATAATTGTTAACAAGCACATATAATATATCCTAGAAAGATATTAAAGTAGAGCTCTGTTGGGTTACTCATGGTCTTAGGAGTATTCAGATTTAAACTTTGGGTTTGTTGTCCACATCCATCCTGGAATGCATAATACCACAGAAACAACTTTGAGAATCTTGTCATACTCACCTTTCCAATACTGAAAGAATTGCAGTTGGATTATTAGGTAGATTTATCTCATCTAAAACATATAAGCCTAAATTGATGAAATATTATAGGATCAGAATGTTAAATACTCAAGAGAATAAAATAAAATATTTGTCAAGAAATCTTACTATCTAATTTGATGTTTTCATACACATTTAAAGCTGTTCATACATTGTTCTGTATTCCAGATTTTCAGGAACCATATGCTGTTGTTGTTCTTTTAGAAAAGGATTTAGTACTTATAGACCTTGCACAAAATGGGTAAGAACATTGGGTGAGCAATTCCATTATTATGTGGTGGAAAAAAGATCCCTTTCAGCATGAGAGTATCTACTTCATTTCTTTGAGAACTCTATATTATATAATTTTCATACCCTTGATTCCTTGTAAAGTTCCAGACCTATATTTCTAATTACCTGTCACATTACTCCATTGTATTGAATCTCATAGAATTTCAATTTCTTGTCATTTCATGTTTCACCCTCACACTTTATATCCTAAATCACACAAAATCAGCCTATCTAAAATTAGTCCCATCATGATTTACCTCTACTTAGTCTTTTTTAGTCTTCCTACTTCTGTTCTTTCTCTGTTGCAATGTGTTGGGCATACCATTGTTACATTGATTTTTAACATGCATCAGTAATCTGTCTTGTTACTCTTCTGTTTAAGCTTTGTTTGCTTTTTTAAATTAACACTTTCTCATGCTTTCTAACCTGGTTTCTTTTTTGTTGTTTTTTATTCACATCTACATACATTGTTTGAGTCATTTCGCCCCCCTGTCCTCCACCCCCTCCCTCTCACCCCCCTCCCACCACCCTCTCTTCTAACCTCATTTCTTACTATCTTCCCATAGTAACCTTATTTCGTGGGAAAACTGAGCTGTGTGTTAAGCAGATATCACATTTCATGTCTTAGGTAATTGTCAGTTGCTAAAGCCCTCTACCTGTTGCACTGCCATCAAAATCCACATAACTTTCAAGGTCAACCTTCTTCGTTTTTAAACTTTTGCTAATTATACTAATAATACCATACTACTTACTATCTCTGAAGAAAAAATCATTAAGCATGATTTTGATTGAGTAATGCTTCTTACTTAAGGATGATTTTGCCCCCCAGGGGATATTTGGCTCTGTCCTTGGAGGCATTTTTAAGAGCTGGGGTGTTACTGGCATCTAGTGAGTAGAAGACAGGGATGCTGCAAAACATCTATAGTGCACAGAATAGCTCCCCACAATAATTACATGGTCCAAAATGTAAATAGTGCTGAGATTAAGACACTCTAAATTTTATTTTTTTTTTTGCATATATTTTGGATTTTTTTTTTATTTCTTTATTCATATGTGCATACAAGGCTTGGGTCATTTCTCCCCTCTGCCCCCACCCCCTCCCTTACCACCCACTCCGCCCCCTCCCTCTCCCTCCCACCCCCTCAATACCCAGCAGAAACTATTTTGCCCTTATTTCTAATTTTGTTGTAGAGAGAGTATAAGCCATAATAGGAAGGAACAAGGGTTTTTGCTGGTTGAGATAAGGATAGCTATACAGGGCATTGACTCACATTGATTTCCTGTGCATGTGTGTTACCTTCTAGGTTAATTCTTTTTGATCTAACCTTTTCTCTAGTTCCTGGTCCCCTTTTCCTATTGGCCTCAGTTGCTTTAAGGTATCTGCTTTAGTTTCTCTGCGTTGAGGGCAACAAATGCTAGCTAATTTTTTAGGTGTCTTACCTATCCTCACCCCTCCCTTGTGTGCTCTCGCTTTTATCATGTGCTCAAAGTCCAATCCCATTGTGTGTTTGCCCTTGATCTAATGTCCACATATGAGGGAGAACATACGATTTTTGGTCTTTTGGGCCAGGCTAACCTCACTCAGAATGATGTTCTCCAATTCCATCCATTTACCAGCAAATGATAACATTTCATTCTTCATGGCTGCATAAAATTCCATTGTGTATAGATACCACATTTTCTTAATCCATTCGTCAGTGGTGGGGCATCTTGGCTGTTTCCATAACTTGGCTATTGTGAATAGTGCCGCAATAAACATGGGTGTGCAGGTGCCTCTGGAGTAACCTGTGTCACAGTCTTTTGGGTATATCCCCAAGAGTGTATTGCTGGATCAAATGGTAGATCAATGTTTAGCTTTTTAAGTAGCCTCCAAATTTTTTTCCAGAGTGGTTGTACTAGTTTACATTCCCACCAACAGTGTAAGAGGGTTCCTTTTTCCTCGCATCCTCGCCAACACCTGTTGTTCGTGGTGTTGCTAATGATGGCTATTCTAACAGGGGTGAGGTGGAATCTTAGTGTGGTTTTAATTTGCATTTCCTTTATTGCTAGAGATGGTGAGCATTTTTTCATGTGTTTTTTTGGCCATTTGAATTTCTTCTTTTGAGAAAGTTCTGTTTAGTTCACTTGCCCATTTCTTTATTGGCTCATTAGTTTTGGGAGAATTTAGTTTTTTAAGTTCCCTATATATTCTGGTTATCAGTCCTTTGTCTGATGTATAGTTGGCAAATATTTTCTCCCACTCTGTGGGTGTTCTCTTCAGTTTAGAGACCATTTCTTTTGATGAACAGAAGCTTTTTAGCTTTATGAGGTTCCATTTATGTATGCTATCTCTTGGTTGCTGTGCTGCTGGAGTTTTGTTGAGAAAGTTCTTACCTATACCTACTAACTCCAAAGTATTTCCTACTCTTTCCTGTATCAACTTTAGAGTTTGTGGTCTGATATTAAGATCCTTGATCCATTTTGAGTTAATCTTGGTATAGGGTGATATACATAGGTCTAGTTTTAGTTTTTTGCAGACTGCTAACCAGTTTTCCCAGCAGTTTTTGTTGAAGAGGCTGCTATTTCTCCATTGTATATTTTTAGTGCCTTTGTCAAAGACAAGTTGGTTATAGTTGTGTGGGTTCATATCTGGGTCCTCTGTTCTGTTCCACTTGTCTTCATGTCTGTTTTTGTGCCAGTACCATGCTGTTTTTATTGTTACTGCTTTGTAATATAGTTTGAAGTCAGGTATTGTGATACCTCCTGCATTGTTCTTTTCACTGAGTATTGCCTTGGCTATTCGTGGCCTCTTGTGTTTCCATATAAATTTAATGGTAGATTTTTCAATCTCTTTAATGAATGTGATTGGAATTTTGATGGGAATTGCATTAAACATGTAGATTACTTTTGGGAGTTTGACATTTTTACTATGTTGATTCTACCAATCCATGAGCATGGGAGATCTCTCCACTTTCTATAGTCTTCCTCAATCTCTTTCTTCAGAAGTGTATAGTTTTCCTTGTAGAGGTCTTTCACATCTTTTGTTAGGTTTACACCTAGGTATTT